CTTGCTCCCTCCATTGTAGAACCCCCTCCCAGCCCTGTTACCCCAAACCCCGTCTCCCTGATGCCCTGACAGCCCAGAGCCCCCAGCCCCATGCCCCCCGATCCCCGGTACCCCCACGCCCCGCCCGCCGTGCCCACCGCAGGGTGCGCAGGGCGGTGGGGGGCAGCCAGCCCCGCCAGGCCTCGGCCATGGCGTCGTAGAGCCAGGCGGCCGACTGGTTCCCACGCACGTAGGGCGGGGGGAAGGCGTTCACCGGGGTGGCCTCGTGGTTGCCCACGGCCGGGAAGACGCGCAGCCCCCCGAGGCGGGCGCGCAGCAGGGCCGTCACCGTGCGCAGCGCCCGCAGCTGGTCCCCGCGGCTCTGCTGCCACACGTCGTGCGCGGGGATGTCCCCGGTCCAGTACGCGGCCGCGAACCCTCCGGTGCCGTTACCGGTGTCGCCGGCGCGGCCGCTGGCGTTGGGGAGCTGCGCCAGCAGCGCGTCGATGGTGTGCAGGGGCAGGTCGCACTTGCCGTAGGTGCCCCAGAACCCCGCGGCCCCCGGCCCGTCGCGGGGGGCCCCGCGGCAGCACAGCGGGTCGGGGCAGGCGGCGGCGCTGCCGGGCGTGTACCGGCGGTCCCAGTGCAGGTCGGTGAGGAACAGGATGCGGGCGGTGGGCGCGCCGGGCGGCGGCGGCGCGGGGGGGCCGCACCGGCGGCTTGGGGGCGGCGGGCAGGGACAGGTTCCAGTCGCCCAGGATGTCCCAGTGGCCGCAGCGGGGGCCCAGCAGGAGCCCGCAGGCCTCGGGCGGGCGCAGCACCGAGCGCGCCCAGGCCGCCACCACGTCGCGCTGGAAGAGCTGCACGGCCTGGCGGCACACGGGCGGCCGCGCCAGCCGCAGCTCCTGGCACAGCCGCGATGCCACGCGCCCCACGCGCGCCACGTTCGGCTCCAGCTGCGGGGGGACACCGGGATGGACGCGGCTCCCCGAAACACGGGTGCCCCCGCTGCCCATGCCCGCCAGCCCCCCAAGATAGACCGTGCACCCCAAACCCCAGCTGCCATCGCTGCTCCGTGCCCGCCAGCCCTGCACCGGGATGGACACGGCGCCCTGTTCCATGGCCAGCCTCACTGCCCCACACCCACCAGTTCCCCAGGATGGCCATAGCACCCCAAATCCCTCACTGCCCCGCACCCACCAGTTCCCCAGGACGGCCATAGCACCCCAAATCCCTCACTGTCCTCACTGCCCCGCACCCATTGGCCACAACCCCGGCACACTGACCCCCCGTGTGTCCTCACTGCCCTGCACCCACCAGCTCCCCGGGACGGACCCCACACCCTGTCCCCTGGCTGCCTGACACTGTCTCACACCCACTGGCCACCCCCAGCCCTCAGCTGGGTGTCCCAAGGCCAAACGGGACCCCCACCCTCTCTGTCTCCTCTGTCCCCCAGCCCGGTTCCCT